AGCTCAGAGAACCCCAAGGACTCCACAGTTCAATCCTGAGCTACACATATTCGCCTCTATTCCTAGAGCACCTTCAGAACCATACATTAGTGAAAACCCCAGGTGATCATCTGTCCAGATCACTTCTTACTCAACCATCATTCTGTAGCCCAGAAGCTCTTACTACCTTATGGTGGTAATCCTCACCTTGACATTTGCTGGTATTGTGCATTGTTATGTTTTGACTGCCTGGCGGGCGAGTCACTTTACAGGTGTAGAGATCCCCTTTGTGCCAACTCTCTTTGCTGATGTTCATTTGGATGAAACTGGAGTAACCGTTGCCCATCCCCGCATCAGCTTTCAATGCCACCTCTACTTTCTCTTGGATCTTTACTCCATTCTTCAGCCATTCCACTTCAGCTTTTCCACCACTAAGGCTTCTTAAGAAGCACACCAGCTCCATGTTGGCTACTGAGCCCTGTTTGCCACAAGTGGGTGCTAAGATCTGAACATCAACTGGCTTCAGAGGATGCCATATACAATCTGAGAATGGAAAGCAGAAAAACATTGTTGACTGTTGGAAGAGCCATTCTTAGGAAATGTTTTTACTTAAAGCAGACTTTTTACAAACCTATCTTCCTGGCACTCTGGACTCAATAGCAAACAAGGAGAACATCGCCTATATTTGTCCTTAACTCAGACATTTATAGGAAAACAAGCCAAACTGAGATTACAATGGGCCTTTTGCAGTGAAATGTACTTTGGAGGGGGTAGGATATCCTGTGATATTCTAGTCCCAAACAATTCCTATTTTTCAAGGTCAAAGCTGCTCTACTTAATTGACTTCAGAAGCAAGTTGATAACCAGTTCAAGAGTCTGATCAGGATGTTATCTTCAGAACCTGGACCTTTGATCATCTCCAGATTGTCTTGAAGAGCAACCCTGTCTAATGCATCTAACATCAGGAGAACATGAAGGTGATTATAGCATGGCCTCAACAAGCATGGTGGTGCCTAGCTAATCCCATCTGGGCTCAGAAGCTAGGCAAGATCAGGCCTGGGTAGTATTTGAACTGGAGAATTTAGGGAATCCCAGGGCTATAGGCTGGACTGGGAAGTAAAAAAAAAAAATCCAAGAAGGGAACAGCAAAACTATTTCTGTTTCATTGCCAAGAAAACTGCTTAGATGCATCTGAGAGTCAAACATGACCCGAAGGAAATGTTGCCTTGTGAAGTGAAGCAAAAACATTTGAAATCCTTGAAGAGGAAGGGAAAGTTGAAATATCAGGTTGTGTTGGTAAAAACTGAGGAAGCTCTTCATTTAGAGGGAACTCCATCTCCCTCAAATCTGATTATATATCTAGCCCAAGGTCTTCAACAAGTACTGGCCCCGGTAACTTAAGTCTCAAAAGGCATCAAAAATTGGAGCTTAAATTTCCCTTCAACTCAAAAGTAGAATGAGGAAATTAAGAAATTCAGGGACAAGACTGATGCTAAAGACATCATTTAGCATTGCAGGAATCTTCTGAAGCTCTAAAAAACAGCTTCTGGGAGTGGGGGTGGGATCTAATAGGACAATGATATAAGAATTGTCTTTTAATCCCAAACGTGATCTCAATGAAACCCATTCTTCCTTCTGAAGCTGCTCCTTGGGATGGAAGGAAAGATGGCCTTCATTCCATCTTCCTTCTCAAGCCAAAGGGCTACAAAGGGAGGAGAGAAATTAAATCCCCTCATCTGCTGATCCCCAGCGACTGTTATTTTCAAGATTTTAAAGAATGATGTATAATGCTAACCCATACATTTGACATCATGGTTAGTCTAGATCTCCAAATGTTGGATTAGGTTCTGCTAATTTCTTTGGCCTTTGCTATCAGGGAAATGAGACTTTATTGAACTTCACGGGGCCTCCCATGAGCATTTCATTCTGTAGATATTGGGGATAGAAGAGACATCTCTTTTCGTTGATGCTCTCCTTCATTATGGTTGTGGTAGAGGAAGAAGTGCTCAGAAAAGAACTGGGTTGCTTTTGTGTTGTGTGGTTTCCCAGTTTCCTTATTTCCCCCACTGGGATCTCAGGAATTGGTGATTGGCAACAGGGACAATTATCCTGGCTCATGGCAACACAAGAGGGCCACCTTCTCTGTTTCTGTGCACACCATTGTCCCACCAGGTTGAGCATACACTCCTGGCAGAGTCCCAGCATCACATCTGCTCATCAGTCCTCTGGTGACCGTAACCTCCCATTGTTCACCCTCTTGAAGAAACTTACATTTGCTTGTGAAGGTCGCCGAGGGAGAGCTTTCTATTTTTCCATCTGGATTCTGCTTTGCAAGGCATTTGTAAGATTTTGTTGAGAGGCTGGAGGAAGGAACCGTGAGTTGACTTGTCGTGAATATGTTCTCTCCAGATATGGGGTGTGATGGGAATTTTTTCTCCCCTGGAGCGTCAGGTTCCCACTTGATTTCCCAAGACTTTACATTGTGTTCAATTAGCAGGCAAGCAAAAGTTACACTGTCAGAATCTTCCTTATTACTGGTACTACAGCAGGACCAAAGGGGGAAGATGGAAGGAGGACTGCTTTCTGTAGGCAGAAAAAAAAGAACGTGATGGGAGGTGATAGGAAATATCATAGGCTGGAAACCAATCTTAAAATGAGCTCAATGAGGCTGTTAAATGTAATTAAATTAAAAGCTTCCACCAAGTTAAATTAATGTAATTGTTTAATTAATTTTAATTTAAATTTAATTTTAGTTCCAATTTTGATTTTATTGTTTGTTCTACATATGTGTAGTTTTTAAGTTTGAAAATATTAAGCCCTGATTGTTGAAGAAACAGAAAAGCCAATCAATCAATCAATCAATCAACCATGCTATAGCTTAAAAGCTTTTATGGAGTCTTTATAAAATTGTTTTCTCTGAAATATCTTATTTTTGGCTGAATATCAATAAACGCAATTACACCCACTTGGATTTTATTATGACTGAATGCTAAGATACCACTATTGTTGATATGGAATGAGGTAGCTGAACCCGTTTTGATAATACAAGAGTCTCCCTCCAACCATCAGCACTGTGAAAAAGAAGCAGTGTAAACAAAAATTAAGATAATTTAGACAAATAAATAAAAGACCCAAAACTTTCTACAAAACCCAGGAAAAAACTGAAATCCACCCGCTTTCAGTCATCTCTACTGGCATCAAGGAGATGGCATATGATGGGGCATCTGACTACTAGAAATTAGTAACAAAACATGGCAAACAACTTTCTGCATGTACTCTATTTTTCCAGATGTTCTGGAAAAACATGTGGTTGCCCTGTTCTGCACATGTAAAAAATAGAGGCCACCATTTTGCATATATAATAAATGGCAGCTGCATATTTTTCCCATGCATAAATAGAGTACTTCTGTAGACAATAAGGAAAATGACTTGGTGGAGATACTGTGATTCAGGCCAAAGGGGCTGAAACATTTTTTAAAAGTCCAGAATCAAATCTGGAGGTTGAGTCATGGCAACTGGACTTCTTTTCTTTTGGTCTGATACGTTTCGCTGCTTGTCCAAGCAGCTTCTTCAGTCTAGAAAGTTGGTTAGGGGGGACCCCATAAATGTCTTCCGGGGTGGCTGCGTTTCTCACTGACATGATGGGCTAGTTGAAGGGACAATAGGAGATGTGATTAGTAGAGTCTTTGGAGTCTTTGTAGAACTCTGAACACTTTGAACATTGCGTATACTACCAAAACATATACACCAAAACATAAGAAGACAACTGTAGTAGATGCAATCCAGTGCAGTGAGGAGTGTTCAGAGCTCTGCATTGGAGAAACCAAACAGCCTTTACACAAGAGGATGGCCCAGCACACA